AATGTATCTGATGTGATATTTTCATATAAAAATGTCTAGTTTTGTATCTTTTCTCTATACATTTTTTTTTTCTTTCCAAATTTGGTTATCTTACGTGTAAATACTGTAATCAGTAGACTTTATAAAGGCCTGCTAGCATAGAAATATTTAGCTGTATTGTTTTGTTTTAAATTTTTTTATACTAGGTGAACTTACACACACGTTTTGATGCAAACAAACTTGCTAACACAGATATCTCTAGCTTTTATATCTTTTTTGTTTTACCTTTTTTCCGCCAAATGATTTTTACATGTTCGCACCTTAATTACATCTGACAGTTGTTTACTGAAGATTAGATAACTTACTCGGTGCTTCATATAATCATTCGCTTCATATAATCATTCGTATAACTAACATAATAACACTTTTCTAGGAATAAATTATCTTACAAACATTCATTATTCACCATATAAATAAAGACAATAAGGTTAAACTAGTGTTTACATGCAGTATAAGGAGGATTATTAATAGAATATTAATATAATAAGCTACACGAACATGAAGGAAGAGGCATTATAATATTATTCCCGAAATTTCAAAACCTAAACTACACAAATTCATCTAGGTTTGAAATCTCCGTTTTTAGTCTATATCCAAGGATCTAAGTTAATGTTCCGTTCTTTTCTTTACATTTTCACAATTCAAAATGTAGTGGTAGCACACTCAACCAGCTCTCAACCAGAAGATGAGTGTGCTCCCACTACTTCTTAAATTGTAAAAAAATAATAAAAGGAACATGAATTCCAATTGCTTGAACTCTTTGTATAGATACTATGCATACATAGTTACGCACATACATAAAATTTTACCAAAATGTCATGGACTTGTTTATGAGAAATTCTTAATGTTCTAGTAAGAAGAGAGTTATTATTGAATTGTTTGGTTGATACATTAATCTGACTTAATTTGTTTCTCAAGTGCATCATACATAAAAAAAATGTTGATTCTGAACAAAATAGTACTTTCTCGTGAAAGTGAATAATCTATTTGTGAATTGCGTTTCACACACTGGTTAAGACCGTATTTCTCTTTACATGTTGACTGTAGCTAGGACATAAGAAATCTTATTCTCAGTTAAACATGCAAATACAACATGATTTTGTGGGTGTGTGACTTAAAATCATGTTAAAAATGAGGTCACCTTATAGACAATTTCACCATAAAAATTATCCCACACACACCTGTTTTGCATGCTAATACAGTATACGTGTTTTAAGTAATTGTGTGGTTCCTGTTTTATTTTGATTTGTTTATTGAATTACTAGAACTGAAGTGAATGAATTTTAGTTAAGAATTAAACACACTTTTTCGATGACGAGGAACCCACTTTGAGACTAGTACCTGATGATGACAAAACCTTCTCGAAACGTTGTACATTTGCTGTTTTTCTTCATTACCCATTCAAGCCATCTCCAGCCATTATTACACTTCTTCGTTGTGTTATGTAACACACTTTTTTTCTTTTTTTTGCAAATATCTATGTACGAGTCAAGCTAGTGTATCAGCTCGGAAAGGTATTAGTATTTGTGAGCATTAGCTCAAGATGCAACTTGTAATAAAAACAAAAGGTAGATAACAACCTTGCCCCACATTTTTTAACTGGGGCTTTGAAATATTGAAGTACTCTTTCAAATAGGTAGTATCTTGGGTGTGCAAGATTACTGGAGACTAGTGTAACAACCAACAACAAACAAAGCTGTTTAAACTATTTTTATCTTTAGAACCTAAGGTGCTGGAAGGTACACAGGACAGTCTGAGTTATACAAGTACATGTGTTACTGTCCTCATTTTGTATGTGCCTAGAGGAGAAACTTGTTAGGCCTCATTTAAAGTAAATGGTTCAGATATGGTGTCTATTGTTTGTGTGTGTGTGTGTATATATATACACGCACACACAGAGGGGGAAGAACATGCTCTACTTGAAATTCTTTTTTTTTTAAATTGAAACATTTTAGCTTTAAAATTCTTCATTCTTTGATAAAGTGGAGACTTAGAATGATAACGAAAATAATGAATTCAGATGATTATGATGACGTATACTTCCTCTCTCATTTTTATTCTAATAAACACTTGAGTATTAGAGTTGTGGGGGGTTTGAAAATCAATACATAATCTAACTGTTCTTTAAGAGGTTTAACTACATCTCACCAGAGTTTACACATTTCATCAAGTCAACTTGCCGTATTTACATGATAAAACCATGTAGTGTATACATGTTTGTGGTTTTTTAAATCTCATCTTTAATTATTTTATAGTGTGCGTATATTACAGTTTACTAGATAAAGTGGATGTGTATTCTATCAACATTTGGATGAAAGCAATAAAAAACTTCAATTAATTTCTGTGTTAATGAAGAATGTTTCATACTTAGTTTCAAGACTTTGATAGACCAACTAATATTTTATCATGACTGAGTTGAGTGTTTCTGAGACAGATCTTCACATAATTTGTATTACGTTTAGTAAAAATGGATCTGTTTAGTTTGCTTTTGACAGAAAGTGAGCGAAGTTAAACTAAGAACCCTAATTTACTGATAAGGATCACTAATATAGTGTTGTGAAAATGAGCCATGTTTTGGTAAATCTTTATTTTAATTTTTTATTCTCCTGCATAACTAGTGTGCCTATACTGCATACGATATGTACCCGTTGAAACAACTGATAGTAATTCAGTGACAGTGTCTTTGTTACCATGATTTAATGATTGAATTACTTTTAAGACTTTTACCTAACTCCTGTTTGTTTAGAATCTGTTCTACTCCCAGGGGGCCCTAATAAAGGTATTATACTTTTAAGACTTTTACCTAACTCCTGTTTGTTTAGAATCTGTTCTACTCCTAGGGGGTGCCAAATAAAGGTATAATCTCTTTTATACTTAACTTTTTTATTATAAAAAAAAGCGTGTCGGCTACTGTTACAATAAGAAACATTATTCTCGTGAATAGGAAACCATCTGTTATGGAAAATAATTTATAAGTTTGAAAAGGAAAACCTCAGTTGTAAGAAAAACACACAAGATCTTTAAAAATTATTTTCTTGATTGCAAGGTTACTCTGTAGTGTAACAACATACGACAAAATTAACATAATTAACATTTTAACGGTATCTCCCTGCTTTCTAACCTTTCCATTACATAACACCTAGTTTTGATAACACTCTTAATAAAAGTTCACTTCCATGGAATAACAAGGAACCAAATGGCCCATTTAGACTATCATATTTTCCAGTACCAACTTACTCGTAACTACGTAAAGTAATCTCTTTTCTTTTGTCCAACCATGATCTCTTAAATACTCATCCTCTTAAACTTCTTCAATGTTCCAATTCCTACCACAAGTGACGATAAACCATTCCATAAGCTGACCACCCTATCAGAAAAGTAAAACTACCTTAAATGGAGCTTTGTCCGAGTCTTACATATCTTAAACTTGTGTCCTCTAATCTTACTACCTACAATATTTATGACAATCTCATTTAAATTTTGGAGTCTATACTTCTAACAATGTTAAAATCCTTAATATTTTGCTCTCCAGCAAAAATATATCAAAAGATTTCAACCTATCCTTACACAACAAGCTATTTAAGTCTTACCAAAAGCAATACTTGTTAAGAGCAACTTACATGTACACTCTGACTTTTACAACAACATAAACAGTTCCTCTAACAAGACTTTAAGGATAATTGTGTAATTTTTAACTGCCATCACTATGACCAGGAAAAACAGTGTGACAAGGAAGGACTCCTAAATATCTGTTTCTCTACTTTTTCCTCATACAAATGAATATATTTATTAAACCAGCTCTGTGTACATGTAGTAGGTTTATGTAAGTGAAAGTAGTATAAAACCTGTGATGAATTCACACAACTCCGACAAACTTCCGTCCCCTTACGTACAATACTTCCAGGAAATTGGAGGAAAGAGTTCCATATGGCACCCCCACCCAAAAATTGTAGAATTGCCTGGATAAAAAAAGATTCTGAAAAGGGTTTATTTTAAGGGGCGTATTAGAAAAAATTGGGGCATGGCTTTGACAAGCATTTGTGTGAATACATGTGGAGAACATTATATTCTGATAAAAGTAGCCTTTTTGATGCCTTTATACAAGTCATTTGTACATGTAATGAATGAAGTAAGTGGTATAATAATGTGTTAAAATTATCAGATCATACTATTAATATGATTTATTAATACATAAATATTACTTTGGTGAATTTTTTTTAAAATTGAGTGGGGGTGCCATATGGAACTCTTACCGAAAACCTTACTATAAACCCAAATAATCAGCTTTAAAGCAGAGTTTAAAAGGGAACTGTGTACTAAGTCATATAGTATAGTCCTCTGTATAGCTTCACACGAAACTTCTGAAACAAGAAATTTTACAGATGGTGACATTTGTGGGAATCTTCTTACCATCACAGTGGCTAGTGAGTTTTGACCAATAGAAAAGCTGGCCAGTGTGAATTCTTTTAAATATTTTGTGAGGAATTTGTAATTTCAAAATGCAGAAGTAATTCAAATATCTTTACTACTGAGCACTCTTTGTTTTTCCTCCATTTTAAAGTTACACAACCTTATCATAACCTGTGTAGAACTTTTATTGAATTTGTATAACTTGTAAATAATAATAATAACATAAATTTTAATTAACCATACTGACGAATGTTAGGCTATCGATCAAATGTTAAATTTGCTAAGCTTTAAAGTTAAAGTTAAATAAGGAATTCAAACTTTTAATTTAGGTTTCTCAAGGTTCATATTTTTAAGAGGTATAATAGTGTTCACAGAAGTCTAACTCTAAGGCATTACTATAAACAAAAAAAAGACTTAATCTAAAAGTCTACATGTTAATATTTTACTTTTATTTATTTTCCCCCATATTATTATCAAACAGACTGTAATTTAATAATATTAATAATAATAGTATTAGTAATAGGTTAGTAGTAGTAGGTAGCAATTTTTACCTTTTCAAGTTTACTTTTTGATTCTTGCTTTTCGATTTTTTCGTACTGAAGCTGGGCAATGGCTGAATTTAAGTCTGAAATTTCTAAATCCACACGATCATTTCTAACTGCACAGGATTCCAACTGTTCTAAAGCACAGATAACTTTGGGCATCAAACTGGTGATAACTTCAGCGCCATAAATATCAATTATTTTCTCAAATTCCTTCCCAATTTCTGACGCTAAATCATAAACGTCTTCCACACATAGTCTCTCAACAACAGAATTCATGATTAAATAATTTACATCCCCCAAACAATTCCAAATATGTAACCTTATTTTCTTAACAAATACATCAGTATTTACAAATGCGAAACTGAAAAATACTCGTCATCGTCTATAGCACTTCGCAACATGTTTGAAGAACGTATAGTTAGGCCATTTAGTGACATCATTCCGGATTACAATCACCGTGCGATGGCGCTACTTTCCTGTAGCTCAGGATTCCCCACCCCTACCCCGATCACCCACTTAAAGTTGACTAAAATAAGATCACCCATCCTTGATATATATCCACTTAGTACTTTAGGGTCAAACTTTTAAAATATAATATTAGCGTGTGAAATTTTGTAACCAGATTTTTATGAAAACTCATAAATATTATTATAATCATTTAAGCAATACAGAAATTAATCATTAGGATAATCTGCCTTTTGCTCTTGTAAGTTCAATAAAAAAAAAGAAGTAGTTTGCGCTAAAACAACAACAACCAAGTACAGGTTTTCTAGTTCTGACATAGTTTTACTGCTGCCATGACATAAAACAAAATATATACCAAGGCTAAATCAACTTTTTGAAATTTATACCTTAGATGACTTTAGGAGATAGTTCAGTTAAGCATATGTCAGTGACATATATTCATATTGCAGTTATTTATAACAAAACAACAAGTACCAATTAGATTCTTTTGTTCCTGTTTGCGATTTCTCTCTAATCTACAGTTCCAAAATTAGGAATATATAGTCCTCTGTATTGTTTTTTGTATTTTGCGCGAAACTTCTGATACAAGAAATTTTCCGGATGCATCTTCTTCCCATTACAGCGGCCATTGAGCTATAACCAATACAGAACCAAGCCTGTAAGTAGAGACACAAACACTGTTGTGAATGAAAATACCGATCTATGTGCTCTTTTTGTATTTGTTTCTTCTTATTGTCCCTGACCAAAATTATTATCTACGTAATATTTCTGGGATCTTCAATTTACATACACTTGATTTCTTGCTATCGAATATCAATAAACTTGATACCTCAAACAAATTATTTGTTCAGTCCAAAGGTAAAATCCGGACAGAGTACTGATAACCTCTTGTGATGTAGCTTTGGGGATAAAAAACCCAACAACAACCTTCGCCGTATGTTTGAAAAGTGGCGTCACCTGTTTTCTAATTTTAGAAGTATATTCAGTAGATTAACACGCTGAGGTAAAAAAAAGTAAAAATTACGTTGGAGAATTTTGTGGAAGTGTTAAAATTGTAAAATTTCAACTATATATATATATCGCTATACCGTTATCGGTTCTGATTGTCAACTTATTGTCATACCGAATAATGTCTGTGGTAATAACACCCAAATGCGTTGGGGATATCACATCTATCAGACAAAATCCAAACGCTGATGTCAATCTAGTCAGCCGTCATGGAAAATCATTAAAAAAGTAATCAAATAAGACAGTGAAAGGCAGTAGAAGCTGTGACGTTGTGGGTGTAAGCATTCAGCTTCGTACCCTTTGTCAGTCAGCTGCGTCTCTACCTGACTAATGAATCACTAATAAAATGTCTGGATCAGGAATCATAGGAGGATAAGAGCATTGTTTTAACCTACTCTAATCCAGACGATGGGAAAGAAAGATCTGAAGAGTACTCATCTGGAAACATATGAGGAAGCGCTGTATCTAGAGGTTGGAGACATCTCCAACAGACAGTTTAATCACTAATGACGGACTTTCTATTGAAATGGTTGAGATTGAACTCCATCATCAAGAAGCTTAAGATGGTTGGTGCTAATAGATGTAATTCTTAGTACGTCTATTTGCATAACTGGAAATAATAGCTAGGAATTCAAAAACTTAGCTGAAAAGGTGTTGTAGTCCTTGCTTTCTGAGCTAGCAAGAAGAATTTCACTATAAGAGATATCCATAGGATATCAAATGATAACTGCTCAATTAACACAGTTTAGGATGACTGGTACCAGTAGAGGTAATGCCTAGTTTATCAACAGTTTGCACATCTAAGGGTGATAACTAGGAGTTTCAAATACACTGTTTTCTAAATGTTTTCTTAACATTGTTTCAGTACAAGGTGCAGTTAAAAATGCATGAAAATAAAGGATATAAGAAAATGTACTCGGAGAATGGAATGGATTTTGCAAGTCAGAAGTTCAAGTTAGTGTCTGTTAACCCGAGTCAGTTCAGGTTAGGAAGTAGTTTTAAAGTGTCAACCCCATTCCTTTCCTAATGAAACTGTGCATTGTTCTGGGTCGAAGGGTAAATTTTTGATAATTCTCAAAACTTTTAAATACATATATATGGGTGTGGGGCAATGATTCTTCTACAATAATTGTTTGTAACAATAAACAGACAGCACATGCTCCACTTGTTTTAAAATAATATATTCAAAACAAGTTAAACGTATGTACAAAAAATATTTACACTATGGAGATCATAGCTGTATCTTAAACACTATACAGTTCTCTTCTTGTTGTTAAAAGTCCTCTTAGGCTCATTCAGCTGCATTAGAATCCAATTGACAAGCCGAATTATATTCTCTACTTTTATTACAATAGTATCAGTGTATAATTCACTTATGCTGCCTTGTGGATTACCACAGTTGTATCCTGAACTTCTGATAATTGTCTTCTTTTCGTCAAAGTCCACACATGCGGGTTCAATTAGTGTAGAACACTCTTTGAGAAGATAAATTATTCTCCTTATCTCTATCAAAAAATCAATCTCTATTTAAACTATCAACCGTTAAGGCTGTTCACTCCCATAATGGCTAACTTCACGTTTTCTAACTTTTCTCTGACTGAACTTCTCTTTCACTTGACTTTACTTTTACTCCACTCCCGCTCGTTTGGTCGCCGCTCTTTATATGTTTATCACTGAGGCCTCTAGAATTTTCTATAGCCTCGACACCAATGAATTGCAAACACAACCTACGGCTCTCAACGAGTTACGTAACCAAACTTATCATAACTATCGCCTTTAAAATAATTGATTCTAACTCTCTTGTTGTGAAAAACTCAACAATTATTAAATATTAACACATAAAATAAATTAAATAATAATGCCTACACTACACAGTCTTGTATATCCAACAATAAGATGAAGTCTCCACGAGGGGTAGCTAAATGCTAAGGAGGCAGGTACAGGCATTTATTGATGCTTGACCAATACAGTGGAACCTTTAACAGCCCCAACCACCAAAGGATGAACCAGTAAGCTCAAAGGACGAGTTGACTTTGAAAACTTCGCCTCCAATTACACCACCACCAGTGTTGAGTGCAGGGTTCTTCCAGGTCAAAAATGGTACCTCAATCCCCACACCTAGATCACCATGGAGACAAAGAAATGGGCCTCCTTGTCAATGTCACTCTAGCCACCATTATCTAAGAGGCAAGGGGAGACAATCCAGTGGTAGCCAAGGGTATGCTATTTTTACAGCACCATTCCATGTCAATGATAACCATCCCACACTACAGCAGATCCCCATTGTTGAAAGATGACTCCATGTTGGACCTAGGATTGGACCTTCTATAGTAGGGAGGAGGACTAGCTGTCAGAACTTGAAGACACCATCAGAATGACAACTGCAGCTAATCACTAGAAAATGGCAACACTGAAGGATCTGCTCACAAGATTGAAGTAAGGGCAAGGAAAGTTGAACACTGTGTTGCTATTGGGTAAGTTTGTATGGTTTGTATGTAGTCTTTTCCTTGCTCATTTATTTATGTGTATATTGAATATACATATTTAATTCAAACATAAGTTTTATATATTTTGTTTTAATATAGGTGAGGTGCTGTAAATATTATAAGTATCCCTTCATTTTTTCTTCTTCTTTTGTTTGTTAATTTTGGTTCTATTTTATTGTGGTATATTTGTAAAGGTATTATTATTTTTGTGTATGATTTCTGTGTTTTGCATTATGCTTTTTATTTAAAACGGTATTTCTTGTGGCTTTTGTTCATATTGTTTGTTTGTTTGTTTTTTAATTTTGCGCTAGCCGTCCCTAATTTAGCAGTGTAAGACTAGAGGGAAGGCAACTAGTCATCACCACCCACCGCCAACTCTTGGGCTACTCTTTTACCAACGAATAGTGGGATTAACCGTCACATTATAACGCCCCCACGGCTGAAAGGGCGAGCATGTTTGGTGTGACGGAGA